TCACAAGATCGGCTAAACATTCCTTCTGGGTCTTTTGATATAAGGACGCCATATTTACGATGCAAAAGAGTTGCTTTAGACAGTGTAGCAGTGACATTTTACGTTCACCCAAATGTCCTTCAGTACTATTGAAAAATGATGTTCTTTTGGAAACAGCATTGAAAAAGCTGAAAAGCTTTACGATGTTGTCGATAAGCAAGAACAGAGTCGACGAAACAGCTCAAACAACGGTTTGTAATTGCACTTGGTTTGTAATTGCACTTATAGAGATAAAGTTCCCAACAAAATTGTGGAAAAAACCTAGAGTGACTGCTAATTTATGGGTGAACCGAGCAGTGAATAGTAGTCTGCAGATTTACTTTCAGTCTTTTGTGTAAAATACAAACTATAACTAAGTGCTTTATTTACGTTCCTGTGCTCGACAATCGCCTAGCCATCTGAAATGAGGAAGAACTGAACAAATGACAAAATATAAGAATGTCAGAGTACATTATGCTTTTGCTCTGATGACGCATTCCGGACAAAGTCTCCTGAGAGTTTCGAGCGACTTTGCTGACACTTTTGGATTTCCGCGGATTTCGAGCATCCTGGTTCCTCTATGGTAGATCAAGGTCTTCGATATGGAAATGGTGCTCATATTGGGATTGCCAATGATTCTAATAGCAGGAACACCTTAAAGTGCACATCATCGTCACTTTACGAAGAAAGTAAGGTGCTTTTAACAACCGACCAGGTTTGCAAGATTTCAGCTGCCTAAGATGTGGACATTTCAGAGATCTAAACTGCGACGCTTTTATAGTTATGCAAATCTCCATATAGACTGCCTTCGAGCAAACAGCGTTCATCTCGGCCTCCGAAATTGTATCACTTGACATCACAAGCATATAGCCCTCCGCAGGTTTGATGATGGTCTTTCCTGCACATGCTGCTACCATTTCGGCGTCAGAGTATGTCCTTTTTGTAAGTCCGCACCCTTAAATGTATTAGTAAAGGGGCCAAGGGCATTGTGTTTAATGCTGTGGCTTACCCAAGTTTGCTGTGATTTTGCACTGCTTGCAGAACTTCTTGTAGCGATTGATAAGGGCGGTAGGCATTCGTGGGTCTTCGCTAATCTCCAGTATACGAGTGTTCCTTTTATAAATGACGGTTGGTGGGATTTGAAGAAGTTCGAAGTTCATGTTGTTTACAATCTTAATGGCAGGGCGTCCTGAATAAGAGTGAGTTTGGACTTTGTATGGATCCAGGTGATGTCTACGCTCGCTAGGAATCGGCTTATTGTCTATGCCTTCTCAGGCCACTTCAAAATTTTCGGTAAAACAGAAATGTATGGGTTCGCTGCTGCTCTAAACCAGCATAGGTCTAACTGCAAATTACCTAGTTGACATGGGCGAAGCTCCCTCAAATGTGGACAACGCAATTCCTTGAACGAAGACCGTGTAATTTCAATACAGATTTCCATGTATACAGCTTTCGAACAGAGCGCATTCATCTCCTTTTCCGTCACTTTTTCCGAGCTAATTACCAACATAAATCCTAATGCTGGCTTGATTATAGTTTTTCCAGCACAAGCCGCGACCAATTCGCTGTCACTGTATGTTCTGCTTTCCAAATCGCATCCTTAAAGCGGGATATTCGTCAAAAATATCGTATGATTGAAAGATTGAAGTATATGAAGACCTAGGTTGGCGGTGACTTTGCAATTGGGACAAATAGTCTTGAGATATGTAATTGTTTTCACAGTGATATGCGGATTCTCGGTGATTTCAAAGATAAGCTCTCCTCTCGGGACAATTACAGTAGTGGGAATCTCCAGAACAGACAGATGAATGTTGCGAACGATCTTGAATGCAGGAATTCCTGTAAGAAGATTTGAATAGAATTGCTTTCTCTAATCAGATCTGCATAATGAAATCCGAAAGTTTGGATATAATTTGAAACTTTGTGCTTCGTAAGTATCGGGAGGTTCTAGAGCTCCTCGTTAGGTGACTGAAGCAACCAAGGCAAAATCACTTCCTCAAAATCTGTCCAAATTCATTCACAGGCTTTTGTACATTCTTATGAATTTCAATCTCCAAAAGTTTGAATACACTGACATTTTGATTTTGCTGCACTTATATAAACAAACAAGGCAGGATGTTCTGTTAAGG